AGCACCCAGCAACAGCAGTAGTCAGGTCAGCCCTGGTGAGTGGAAGTCCACATAGCTGAGCCCATGCATAACCTCCATCCCTGCAACCATGGCCACTTTGCTTTTGAGACCATTGAACAACAATAGGGTGGCTGGGGAAAGAAGCTGTTATCCACAGAACAGGCCATCCTATCCACTTATTAAACTCCTCCTTTTGCTGAGATCACCCTTTAGTAATTCACATGGGACACAAATATCTTCAAATTTTTTACCCATTCAGATCTATGCACATCTCTTCCCCAGATTTTACCGTCACCAAATTTCCAATCACATTCCTTCCACCATTATCCCACACCCTTAGTATCCATTCCCAGTCGTTCCCTGGATTTCTGTCTGTATAAAGTAGAAAATTCAAGTAGTTCTTTTGGGCTGTAGCACACCTCCTCATGGTCAAACTGCGTACTACACTTTTAAGAGGGGCTGGAACATGAGTCTAGTGACAGGTCTAGAAACAGAGAGGTGGTGGGAGTAGCTTCTGAAGAGAATCAGCACTGACTTGCATGGCCACTGCCTCACAAGTCATTTCAGTTTCTTCAGGCAATGCAGGCTTAATTCTCTCAGAGGGAGGAGAGGCTGATGCCACTGTGGGCGGGGATGCCACAGCAACCAGGGGTGTAAAGGCTACTTCTGTTGAGGGTGGGGAGGTGGCTTCCACTGGTAAAGGCTCAGAATTTAGGAGCTCCATGTCCTCAGCTCCCCCCAGGGTTTTCCCACATGACCCCACACCGACTTATGAGATCCCTTCTTTGCCCATTGATGCCCTCACTTCAACAGTATTCTAACATTGTTTAAGTATTCAGCTGAAAAATTCCCAAATGTTTAACTTTTGCTTCAAAAATTCTCTTTTGGTCGTTTCTCTCTTCTTGCACTTTACTAGAATCAGCCAGGAGGCAAGCCACACCTTCAATTTCATTGCTCACAAGTTCTACTTTCCATGAAACATTAGATCACAATTTAGCCAAGTTCTTTGCCACTTTCTAAGAACGTTTCCTTCTGTTTCCAATGACATGTTCCTCATTTTGGTACGAGAGCTCATCAGAATGGCCTTTACCATGCATAGTACTACTAACATTCTGTTTGTGATTATTATCTAAGATTCAGGTTCTCTCTTTGGTTCTCCTCTTTTCTGAGACCTCACCGGAATCACCCTTAACATCCATATTTTCTGGATGCATCTCAAGCCCATACTCATTATTTAATTCCAAAGCTGTTTCCATATTTTTATACATTTGTTACATTAGCACCCACTTCTGGCACTAATTTTTGTCTTACTCAGTTCAGGCTGCTATAACCATAGACTGGCTGGTTTATAAACAACAGAAACGTTATTTCTCACAATTCTGGAGGCTGAAGTCTGACATCAGTGTGCCAGGATGATCAGTTTCTGATGAGACTCCTCTTCTGAAGACTGTCATCGTCTCGTTTCCTCACATGGCAGAAGAGGGTGAGAGCTCTCTGGGGTCCCTTTTTATAGGGGCACTAATTCCATTCAGGAGGGCTCCATCCTCATGATCTAATTACCTCTGAGAGGCCCCACTTCCTAATACCATCGCATTGGTGCTTCGGATGTCAATACATGAATTTCAAAAAGCAACATGCAGTCCACTTCAAGGCCCAAATGGTTTCACTGGAGAGTTCTACCAAACACTTGAAAAATAATTAAGAGCAACTCTATACTACCTCTTCTGGAAATTAAAAGGAGACAACACTCCCAAACTCATTTTTAAAAATATTTTTTTGAAAGATTGGCACCTGTGCTAACATCTGTTGCCAATCTTTTTCTTCTTCTTCCCAAGGCCCTCTGCTACATACCTGTATATTCTAGTTGTGAGCCTCTGGTTGTGCTATATGGGATGCCACCTCAACATGACCTGATAAGTGGTGCCACGTCCACACCCAGGATCCCAACTGGCAAAACCCTGGGGCCCCGAAGTGGAGCGTGCAAACTTACCCAGTCGGCCATGGGGCTAGCCCCCCAAACTCATTTTATGAGGCCAGCATCACTGACACCAAAATAAGACAAAGGCAATAGAACAAAAGAAACTATAGACTGGTATCCCTTCTGAACAGAAACAAAAACCCTCAACAAAATATTAGCAAATCATAGCAAATATAGCAATATTTTGTTTAAAGTATACACTACAAACAAATGGGAGTTTCTTCTGGTGATGTAAGGCTTGATTAATATTTGAAAATCCATGAAGGTAATCCACATTAACAGAGTAAAAAAGAAAAATCACATTTATATCAACTGGTGCATATTTTTAAGTAGCATTTCAAGGACATATAAAGGGTTCCATGACAGTGTTTCCAGGTAGCAAAGGGTTCTCAAAGTTATAAAAGTCCTGAGAAGAAAAAAAATAAAAATGTGGTGCTGTTATGAAAATGTGGCCTTAGGGTAAAGATGAAGCCAACTTTTATCCTGTGAAACAGCATGGCTGCTAAGAATATTAAAGTCATATTTCCACAGCAGCCTCATAGGGAACTCAACATAGAGAAGAGTCTGTTGATCTTTGGTCTACTTGAGTGAACCCTAATAAAATTCACAGAAAATACTGTTTTTAAGAGAATTATACCCCCTGAAGGACTGCAGGTTTGAACTTAATGAGACACAAACAGTATAAAGTAAAAAAGCGCCTTTGGATCCCAAAACGTCTACAGGCTAAAAACAGTCTGAGAAAATTACTCAGCTGAAAACACAGGGTACTTTTTACGAAGGAAAAAGAAACAGCATAACTCAGGGTAGAAATAAGAAGTCTTCAGTAGAAACACTCACATTGGGTTCTGCACTTTGTAATGATGTAATCCACTGAACATCACAGCTTCCCAAACACAGCACAGAAACGCTGTGAGAAATTGAGATACACTCTTCTTTTGTTAGAACTGTCTTCGAAAACCTCACAATTTACACCATTTTAATTTGAACTAGCCATATTTCAATTCTCAATAGCTCAATACTGAGTACTCAACAGGTGGTCAGCAATGATCTTAGACAATGCAGGCCTATTCTATTAACTTCCACATTTAGTTTAACAATTGTTTTTACTCATTCTTTAAAAATATTAAGTACAATGAGCCAGATACTATAATAGATCTTGGAATCGGTGAACTAGATAAAATCTAGACCCTCAATCTTAATTTCCCAAGTACATTATAGCATATTTAATATCCCAGTGTGTAAGCTTTGGCAACATCCACAAGTTTTGATATCTAGCCATTTTTAAAAATCATTTGGTTCAAACTGGTTATAATATAACTCCAGTTAATTTCACCTTTAAAAGAACATTAGGGAAAATGTCAAACACATAAAAGTAGAGGAAAAAGCAAAAACAAAATAAACAAAAACTATCTACCCAAGACTGACCTTACTATCATTTTGACAAACTTAAGTTATTCATCTTCACTTTTCTTTTACATGAGCATTTTAAAGGAAATTCCAGATATCATATCATCTTATGTGTATAAACATAATTTATCTTTAACAGACGTTTTTACATAACTACAATGCTATTATCACACCTAAGAAAAACAAGTGAAAAAAATTTTTTATTGAGGTAACTTTGGTTTATAACATTATATAAATTTCAGTTGTACACATTTTCAACTTCTATATAGACTACATTGTGTTCACCACCAAGAGTCTAGTTGCCATCCGTCACCATACACATGTGCCCCTTTACCCCTTTTACCCTCCCCCCACCCTCTTCCCCTCTGGTAACCATCAATCTGTTCTCCACATTTATGTGTTTATATTCCACGAGTGAAATCAGTGTCTTTCTCCATCTGACCTATTTTGCTTAGCATGATACCCTCAAAGTCCATCCATGTTGTTGCAAATGGCAAGACATCGTCTTTCTTAATGGCTGAGTAGTATTCCATTATGTGTGTGTGTGTGTGTAACACACACACACACACCATATCTTCTTTATCCCGTCATCCACTGATGAGCACTTAGGTTGCTTCCAAGTCTTGGCTATTATACATAATGCTGCAACGAACATAGGGGTGCCAGTATCTTTTCAAATTAGTCAAAAACATAGCTTCTTAATATTATCTAATACTGTCAGTATTGTCACGAAAATGTCTTTTTTACATTTGTTCAACTTGTGAACCACTCATTCATTGCATTTGCTTGCTACGTCTCTAAGAGTTCCACCTCCCTTTTTTCAAGGCCATTTTATTGGTTGAGAAGAAGGGTTATTCCTAGTATAATTACTCATATTTTAGATTTAATTGCTTCTTCTTGTGTCATGTAATTTGTTCTTCTGTCCCCTGAATTTTCTCTAAACTGGAAGTTAGATCTTGATGCTTGATTTGATCCAGGTTTAATATTTTTTGCAAGATGTGTATATCATTGTATTTCGTTAAGGAGGCACAAAATGTTTGTCCTATTTTTGATGAGGTTAAAACTGACCAGAGTTCAGATGCTGTTGACCTGACTATTCACTATGGTCTTATCAGCCTTTCAGTTAATGGTCTTAAAATCTACTGAGAATCATGCCTAGATCCACTATTTCATTATGCACTGCAAAATTCTCTAATAGAGAATTTTACTCCATTGACTTCTAGTTGCCCTGAAATACAGTTTATACAGGAAATGCAGGCTAAATATCTTTTCTTTTCTTTTATGTATCAATTTTCAGAGTTAGGGCCCTGGCAACCTTCATAGGTATACCAAACAGACAGTAGAGATGGTAACAGGTAAGATCACAAGCTTTTCCACACTCACCCCTGTAAGTTTCTTCCTAGATGAATTTCCTCAAGTTTAACACGACTTGAATGGTGATGAAAGGCTTCTACATACTCATTAAATTAACATATTCTTTCTTTTAAATAAAATATCTTATGTTAAATTAGTTGTGAGCATGAAGCAAGAGAGATTCCTACATTCAAAAACTTTTCCACTAGAATTTATTTTCTAATGCTCATTAATACAAAATTCACAGTGGAAGGCTTTCTTATTTAGTTACATTATGAACTCGTTGATGGTAAGTAAGGTGTGAATGTTGTCTAAAGGCCTTCTGACATTCCTTACATGTGTATGGTTTTTCACCAGAATGAATTCTCTGATGCTGAATAAGTGATGAATGAAGTCTAAAGGCCTTTCCACATTCCTTACAGTCATAGGGTTTCTCACCAGTATGAATACTCTGATGTTGAGTAAGTTGTGAGAATAGCCTAAAAGTCTTCTCACATTCCTTACATTTATAAGGTTTCTCACCAAAATGAATACTCTGATGTTGAGTAAGTTGTGAGAACAATCTAAAGGCCTTCCCACATTCCTTACAATCATAGGGTTTCTCTCCAATATGAATACCCTTATGTGAAATAAGTTCTGAGTAACGCCGAAAGAACTTCTGACATTCCTTACATTCATAAGGTTTCTCACCAGTATGAATTCTCTGATGGAGAGTTAGATGATAGCCACGACTAAAGGTCTTCCCACATTCCTTACAATCATAGGGTTTCTCACCAGTATGAATTCTCTGATGGAGAGTAAGTTGTTGCCGCACTCTAAAGGCCTTCCCACATTCCTTACATTCATAGGGTTTTTCACCAGTATGAAGTTTGTGATGTACTCTAAGGCCTGTACTACACAGAAAAGCCTGCCCACATTCCTTACATTCATAGCACTTCTCGGCAATATTAAGTCTCTGATGTCGAGTAAGGTGTGCATACTGTCTAAAGGTCTTCCCACATTCCTTACATTCGTAGGGTTTCTCACCAGTATGAATCCTTTGATGGAGATTAAGTTGTCCTCGCACTCTAAAGGCCTTCCCACATTCCTTACATCCATAGGGCTTCTCACCTACATGAATTCTCTGATGTACACGAAGATCTGCGCCACATGTAAAGATCTTTCCACATTTTTTACATTCAAGGAGTTTGTCAGAAGTATGAATTCTCTGATGTCGACTAAGGTGGGCACACTGTCTAAAGGCTTTTCCACAATCTTTACATTCATACGGTTTCTCACCAGTATGAATTCTCTGATGGAAAGTAAGTTGTTGGCGTACTCTAAAAGCCTTCCCACAGTCCCCACATTCATGGGGTTTCTCTTTATTATGAATTCTCTGATATAAAGTAAGTGATGTGAGTTTTCTGTAAGTGGGCATTTTTTCAGAGTTGGTTTTTTTCACTTGCCTGAAATATCCCTTTTGAGGACTCTCTTGTCCCTCAAACTTTCTATATTCACAATCCTTTCTGAAAAAGGAGTCTTTAAGGCCGCAACTTCGAATTCTTTCCATTATGTCCCACTGAGATAAATTCATTTCACACTTTTTAGTGTCATATTTGGAGTCCAAATCTGAAAAATAAAGTAAACACATGCTATTTTCTTATTGTTCAAAAAGTAAACAATCAAATTACTTTATAATAAGAAAAAAACACAATAGAATATAAAGCCCAGTTGAAGAAAATGGACTAAAAAACTCTAAAATAATCAAGTAATTTGAAAAAGCTAAGGGGGAAAAGAAAACGATGAGTTAAAACCAGATATTCGGCTGCAGATCAAAGTTTGAGAATCTCTACTTAAATTTTTTTAATGGTTTCTCTTTTCAATTAGAATAAAGCACAAACACCTTACCATGAATAATGTGGCCTTTATTTACCATAAGTTATCATCTCAAGCCACTATCCCCTTTGCTCCCTATATCCCTGAGTTTCCTCTTTCAGCTCCTGGCATATGTCACAATCTTTCCATTTCTTAGAGCTCTTCACTGGCTATTAAATCTCCCAGGAATGCTGACTCGGGTTTTCCACACTGTTGGATTCTTTCACCCTTTAGGTACGTTAAGTATCAGAAAAACTATCCATGCTGACTTCATCTAATTTATATCCTTTATTTTCTATCCCAGTAACTTGTTTCTTGCTTAACACTGTTTTCAATTTTGTTGTTACATATTCATTAATTTTTCCCAGGTTTTATTCTCTTTATTTTCTTACCTTAAATCGCCCCAAGAGAAGAAACAATCTTTCACTGATTACTGAATAACAAACCCATAGCATATAGTAACTGTTAGTTATTAAATTCCCATAATTAGTTAACAGGTATTGCACGTTGCCTTGCCTCCAGTCTTATACCTTACTACATTGATTTTGTGTCACTTTTTCATCGCTTCCTGTAGAGATGGGAAACAAAAGCACATCTAAGCTATCTCAGTCAAATGTGTAAATGAAAAAATGGTGATTTCTTTACATCTGATCACCTTTCCAATTGCCTATTTTCACTTGCAGATATCTCCACTACAGCTCATTTTCTACTTTGCACAGTCATGAGTAAACTTTGTTTTCACAACTAAGGTAATGAGAGATTCTACTTATTTATTTTCATTTGAGTTTATAGCACTATACACATCTACGTTACAAATACTCAACCTGTTTTATTCCTTCATACTCTTTCCTATATTCTCTCTAAAGTCCTCAGAGCTGATGCCATTTGGGTACTTCCTAGAGAGTACTTATAGTAATTTTTCAGGCATAACAACAGGTTTATACCATAGTAACATTCTAATAAAATTCTGAGAAGAGATGTTTTTCTCAATGCATATTTTATCAACATTTTTGCAATAGTTCAATACTTTTCCAAAAAAAAGGTATTTTTAAAAACCTGTAATACAGCAACATTATTTTTAATATGCCCAAACTGGAAAGAATCCAAGTGTTCATCAACAGAAAAATGGCTAAGTAAATTATGATATATTGATACAACACAATACTGCATAGCAATGAAAATTAATAATCTACAAGTACATGCAACAACATGGATCAATTTTACCAACATAACAGTGGGTAAACAAAGCCAGACATAAAACAACATATACTGTATGATTCCCTCTTTATAAAGCTTGAAAACAGTAAAACCAATCTATCCAGTTGTTAAAAATCAGGACAGTGGTTAACTTTGGTGGTGAGGAATGACAGGAAGGAGTTAGGAGGGAGATTCTGATAGCCCAGTAAAGCTCTATTTCTGAATCTGTGTGATTAGATGTGTGTGATCAGTTTTTGAAAATTCTGAGAGCTGCATATTTGTGATTTCTATATCTTTTGTATACATTTATATTTCAATAAGTTTACTTTAAAAACCAGACACTAAAAAGACATTAAAAGGCTACAATGAGGGCCAGCCCTGATGGCCTATTGGCAGGTTTGACGGGTTCAACCCGGACCCATGGCCAAGTGGTTGAGTTTGCACACTCTGTTTCGGTGGCCCAGGGTTTCACCAGTTTGAATCCTGGGCATGGACATGGCACCAGTCATCAAGCCATGCTGAGGTGGCATCCCACATGCCACAACTAAAAGGACCCACAACTAAAAATACACAACTATGGACTGGGGGGCTTTGGGAGAAAAAGGAAAAATAAAATCTTTAAAAAAAAAAATGTTTGGCGGGTTCCACTTCAGCGGACAGAGTTCAGTACCTGGGCTCAGAACCACACAACTCGTCTGTCGGTAGCCATGCTGTGGTGGTAGCTCACACAGAAGAACTAGAAGGACTTACAACTAGAATGAATATACAACTATGTACTGGGACTTTCAGGAGGAGACAAAAAGGCAACAATGATTTAAACAGTGTGGGTAAAATGTAAGCACAGACAGGTAAATGAATGGCACCGAAAATAGTGCTAAGAAATCTGTGTGTGTCTTCCTCCCTCCCTCTCTCCCTGTCTGTCTGTCTGTCTGTCTCTATCTCCTCACTCAAGAAAGCAATACAAAACTATGGCAATTTCATAAGAATTTTTGGGAAAAAGTCAATTTAAGGCCTCATTAAGAAAAACAAAAATATCAATGATATATAAAATGACTGGTTATTAGCTACATAGTCATAACAGTAGTAAATAAGTAGCCAGCTATAAAGGTATGACAAATGTTATAAGATGGTAATTTCAAAGGAGTTACTTGCAAATTAAAAATTAAAAACCAGTAATCTAAAAGGAAACTCAAATATCAAAATAAAAGGCCAAAACATTTGTAAGAAAAATGAGAACAAGTGTTCAAAGCATAAAAGCCCACATAACTTGGCATAAGAAACATTAAATCATGGAAAAAGTAATGGAATACAGGAAATGAGCAGACAATGCACAAACTATAAGTGTAAACAAACTTAGGACAAAATGTCCATTATTCACACACAAAAAGCTAAGTAGAACAAGTTCTGAAACTTATTCAATAAATTTTGAAGGTTTCCATTAAAAAACAAACAAAACATTCCCAGGGTAGATACAGTGAACTTGAGACTCTTATATATGGCACCCCCACTTAAGTGACATGCCAGATTAAGACAGACCATGGCGTGTTGAACATTCTCATCTAGACTACTCTGTAGCATAAACAGTCGAGCTGTAACCTTACAATTTCTGTAAACAAAAAGCTAACCACGTGTTCCCAAATTTGTTTATACCAGTTCTTATCCCTGCAAACAACTGAAAGACAACCATTCTATGAAAACTAAGTTGACTGTTTTGCAAGTACTGGTTATAGATGCACAGTGAACTGTTGTCGAAGTAGGTATGGGTGAGAAAATAGTAAAGACTGATGGGAAACATAAAAATTCAAGGCTTCTGTACTCAGATTGCTTTTGTATATATTTATATTTCAATCAGTTTACTTTAGGTATCTTTAGGTTCTTTTCTATTTTAAATAAATTAAAACTGGAAATAATAGCCAATGCAATTATATGGGCAATTTAATCAAGAAAGAATTTGCTGGACCTACACTGAAACAAAAGGCCAAAACTAAACATCAAAAGACTGGCGTATGGTAGGAAATTTTAATGTTTCAACTTTTAATATATATGTAAAATATTTAACTATTTAAAATTAATAAACCAAATACTAGTTTGGATTCTACTGAATCAAAGGGCTTTACTCTAGTAAACAATGCTAATATGAAAGCAAAACATTAGCCGATTTTAGATCAATATAAAAGGAGAAACGTTATTTCTATTTACAGGGTATCAGCTTTAAAAAGGAAACGAGCAAATTACTTGTCATAAAATTAATTTATTTCCTGAGGTATGATGTCTTTCATCACCTTTTTTTTGCCAATATAAGGTGATATGGGATACAGAATATGACAGGCAGTTTTACTCACATTAACATCAGGGTTAACATATCAAGAGATCTACAAATGTTAAAACCCTATGACCACAGAATTGTACTTCCAAGAATCAATACTAATCAAATACGGAATAATCCATACTGAATTCCAATGAAATACTGAATAATCCTCATATTCTGCTGATAGTCTTACTGCTTATTTCCCCAAGAAATCAGAACCAGTTGAAAGAGAAATATGTATTCTCCCCTTCACCCTATTATCCCACCAACCTGTAGCCGAATCCTTATCATACGCATGACTTTCCTTCATAAATTGGCTCCTACTCCTTCCCATCTACTGAAAATCATTGTTTACAAAATTATCCTCTCTCTACTCCATCAATTTTCCTCTCGTTGAAATCATTCCCTTCAGCCTATAAACATGTTCTAATACCTCACACTTAAAATACATTCTTTGTACCTGTGTCTGTTTTTATGAAAAAATCCCTCCAAAGAGTTGTGTATACTTATTTTCACCACTGCTTCAACTGTTATTTTCTTTTTATCTCCCAATAACTTTAAAGTGAGCATTTCTAACATACACAAAAACAAAACAGTATAATAAATGTCCATATTTCTATGACCTAGCCTCAACAACCATCAACCTATGCCCAATCCTGGCCTATGCACATTCTAATTCACTCTCCTCACATTATTTGAAACAAATCCCATATATTATTTTTTGTAGTTATTTCAGGATTTATCTCTAGAAGTATTTTTAGAAAACAATCATAATACCGTTAGCCAAACCTAAAAAATGAAAATTATTTAAGATCATCAAAAATCAGTGTTCACACTTGTCTCATATGTAAAATCTTAAACAATTTAAAAATAGCAATTGATCCAAAGTCCATGGAGTACAACCAGTTGACATGTCTCTTACATCTCTTTTAATATATAGGTTCTCTTGCTTTTAATTTCCCTTGCAATTTATTTGTTGAAGAAACTATTTTTGACCCTGTAGCACTTCCCATATTCTGAATTTTCCTGACTAGATTCCCAAGGTGTAGAAGAACATGTTCCTCTATCTTCTTCCCATAAACTGGTAATTGGCTTTAGAAGCTTGATTTTAGGACTCAGGACCAATTTTGTTGGCAAAGTTACTTCATAGGTGATATTGTGCCCTTTCATTAGAAGAAAGAGATTGTCTGACTGTCTCCATTTCTTTGATGCAATCAGCATTAATGTTCAATGTCTAGATCCAGTGGTCCATTATGGCTTCCAAAATGGTAATATTCTAATTCTATCATTCTTCATTTATTCACTGAATAAATTTTTATTTTTTATTTTATTAAGAAAAATCACTCCTCCATCTACTACCTATTGGTACAGTTCTTATAAGGAAGGCAGGATCAACGCCTCTTTTTCTTTTAAATTTATGTTTTCACAATAAGTTCTCTAGTAGTTTCCAATGGTGAACAATTTGCTAGCAGTTTCATTAAGAATTTATGAAATTAAGCATATTTTATGTGTTGCAACACATTGCAGTTATGTGTATAGATGCTCAAATGGTTCCATCTTTGACCAGCTGGAGCCTTTTCCAAATGGTTCCTCTTTCCTGACCACCCTATCTAAACTTACCCCATTCACCTATCATAATTCTCCATATTCTTACTCTACTCACTTTTCTTCATAATACTCATCTACTTCATGACATTTGGTAGTCCATTTGTTTTGTTTGTTACTGTATGACTTCTCTACTACCAAGTGAAATCCATGAAAAAATGGCAATGAAGAAATATATACATAATAGGCAAAATATGAAAGATGAACTAGAAAAGAATTAGATCCAACATACAAAGAAAATGGTTGTCATTAGGGAAGAAAGCTTTCCTTCACTGAAATGAGAGGGAAATATGAGAGTGAAGAAACAAGCGATTGGTGGAAGTATAGAGGAAATTTCTTGGGTGGCTCAGGCTGAAATCCAAGTTTTCTTCCCAGCTTTTAGGTCTTTTCTTCCAATGGGTGTGTTTCCTTCCCAACCAGCAGAGCGGCACCATGCCATAACAGCTTACCTCTGCCTGACTGGCACTTACTCACCTAGACTCCATCTTTTCTCCTCATCCCTCAGAACCATCCAGGGTTCTTTCCCTTGCTCTAAGAGGGTAATCACATCTGGCTTAGAACTGGACCATCCTGCTTGAAAAAACATAATGGAACATAATAAAGAAAGAACCTACTTGATTAAGCCTTCAGAACAAAGAAAAGTAATGGGATTGACAAACATTCATATTAGAATTACTTTAGGATCACAAGTAATAACAAGAACAGAGAGGTAGAAACATCATTTTATTTTCACTTAAACTCATACAGGCTCTGTCTCTTGAGAGGAAGAAATGATTGAGAGCACTGGTTTCAAACCCTGCCTCTGTCCCTCGGGTTACTAAGGCCTCAGTTTTCTCAGTTGTGAAAAGGGGATAATAAAAATATCTACCCACAGGATTGCAGTGAGGTTTGATGTAACAAATCTAAGTGCTCAAATGAATGCCTAGTACCTAGTAAGAACTATACATGTTAATTAGGTAGTATTTTAAAAATATTTTTCTAAGAGGAAAATAGTTTCCTGCCAGGATGTTCATCCAATGCTAAATGCAAAGTTCATGTATTTTCAACATTTAATCATAAATCAATTAGAAGATTAATATGTCTGTTGTAGTAAATTGAATGTGCCCTCTTGAGTTTTAACGAACTGTTGATTCAACCCAGTATCACATACATTGTATAAGTTTGTATGTAGAGCTAGACACCTTGGTCTTCCTACTCACAATGCAGGTGAGTTAACAGATAGGAGACCATCTACAGCAGTATGAAACCAGATTTCTCTGACAACAGTTTTCCTATGATTGTCTAAGAATTTATATCCAGCTGTCGTTTAAGAGAAATGATTACAGAAAAGGCAAAGGAAGATGTAAAAGTCACTGAATTATGGGGGAAGCTGAAGGGACAATTCAACACCTTAAAAGATGAAGGTGCCTATTCCCAAACTACAACGCAGATAGATATTCAGCTAGTCTGTAGAAAGACAGTCCTGAAATTCAGTCCTGTGAATTTCTAAATTATTTGACACAAACAAGCTTACCCAGTGACACCAAGTTGTTATAGTTCTCTAATATCACATCTCTGTACAAATTCCTCTGATACGGTTTCAGGCATTCCCACTCTTCCTGAGAAAAGTCTACAGCTACATCTCTGAACATCACCAAACCCTGAAAGGACAAATCCATCTATTATTTGTAAAATTATTTATTTCCATACAGGGTCAATATTTTAGGGCTTTGCATGCCACATATGGTCTCTGTTGCATATCCTTCCCCTTTCCCTTCCTTTTTTAAACAATTCTTTCAAAACATAATTAGTTCATAGACTATACAAAAACAGGCAATGGGTCAAATCTGGCTCACAATCTGTAGTTTGCCCACCACTGCTACAGACAAAACTTCCTATGTACTGTGGGATACCTAATTTTATTTCCAGATACATTCAAGTAATTAATCAGAATTTCTCAATTAACTGAATAGTGTTCATAAGAACACTGCTTGCAATAAGGGTAAAAAAAACTCTTAATAAATGTGATTTACTCTACCTTCTTTTCCTTTAAGGATTTGAAAAAAAATAATTGATGGAATTTTTCCCCCAAATGAACCATAAAACTTCTATTTTTAAAAAGCAGAGTTTGGGGCCACCCAGCGGCGCAGTGGTTAAGTGCGCATGTTCCACTTTGGCGGCCCGGGGTTTGTTGGTTCAGATCCCAGGTGTGGACATGGCACCGCTTGGCAAAAAGCCATGCTGTGGTAGGCGTCCCACATATAAAGTAGAGGAAGATGGGCATGGATGTTAGCTGAGGACCAGTCTTCCTCAGCAAAAAGAGGAGAATTGGCAGCAGTTAGCTCAGGGTTAATCTTCCTCAAAAAAAAAAAGTAGAGTTTGCACAAAATTAGTTTCTTCCAGACCCAACTTCAACATTATGTTGTATCATTAGCATTTTTCCTTATAATAACCAAATCCTTTCAGTGAATATTTTTAATTCACTATACAATAGTCCATTTTATAGATTTGTTAGACTTAATAGTGATTATACTTAGACATTTAAAATATATTTTAATTATATTAAAATACACTTAATATACATTTTAAATATATTAAATTTAATATTAACTTATTAATAAACTTATTTTAAATACATTTTTAAAAATATTTTTAATTATATTTAGAATTTAGGTTACACAAAATCTCTAAAGCTACAACGTCCAATATGCTAGCTTAGACACATGTAGTTATTGACCATTTGAATCGTGGCTAATCTAAATTTAGATGTGCTGTAAGTATAAAATATGCAGCACATATTGAAGACTTTAGAAAGAAAAAAAGAATATAAAATATCTCAATAATTTTTTATTGATTACACGGAAATGATAATATTTTGGCTATACTGGGTTAAACAAAACATTAAAATTAATTGCATTTTTTTAATGTGACTACTAAAAAGTTTAAGATTACAATTGCCTTGCATATAATTCTATACTTTTTATGAGACTGACATGCTGCCTACTAAGAAGGCACTAATTCAATACTTTTTATGTGACTACCAGAAAACGTAGAACTACATATGGAGCTCGCATTATAATTCTTTTGGACAGTGCTGCTCAAAACGTGTTCTCCAGTCCTGAGAGTCTCAAATCTACTATCTCCCTTTAAAGACTTCATTTCTGCTTTATTTCTACTCTAGACAAAGACTGAACACAGAGGAGACACTGAATAATTTGGTCAATTCACATATGGACACAGATGGAGAAGAGAGGGGCACATAGGATGGGCCCAGGATGCCTGGCTCCATCCCTTACTAGCATGGGAGAGACTGGCAAGACGCTGTCAGATGGGGCTGTTAGGAAGTTTCAGGATAACGAATGAGAACGTTCACATCACCCGAAAAACATTACAGCATTTCAAATAGAGAGAAACACCAACTTACGTGAGCCATGATTTTAGAGTTATAAGAATTGGTCAGTTTTCCTCGAGTCATTTACTGGAGAAACAGAGTCCACAGAAGCCAGAGCTGGGGGAAGAAAGTGAAGCCATGAGAATAAAATGGCCTCAGAGCTCCCAAATTTTAAAAACTCACACTACTTCTCCATTCCTACACGCAACACCCCTCCATCCCCCAACACAAAGACTAGTTATGAGAGATAAGAGGTAGTTCAGACAAATACATGTCTTCCCCCAAACCACAGGGAAATCAGTTGTATAAGGATGGACACAGAGCAGAGACTCTCCTGCATGGAAGCACATGTCCAGACACTTTAGCAGGAGGGCTTCCAGTCAGTCCCCCAGCCCAGGGAGGCTGATCTGAATCTGAGAATGGGCTGAATGGGCTGTCCAGACCCGTCCTGAGCAGATCCATCTCCCTCCATTCCCACCTTCACAGCTGAGAAAGTGGCTACATCATCTAAACTAGAACTTCCTTCTAAAACTCAGGAACCTGGCCGGCCTCCCTCAACCTGAAGACAGAAAACAGTATAGGCAAGAAATTCCCAAACCTTGCTGCACATTAGGATCACCTGCAGATCTTTAAAATATAACTGATGCCTGGCTCCCATGCCCTAAATATTCTGATTTAATTAGTATAGCATGTGACCTCAGAACAGGAATTTTTTAAAACCTCAGATTTTAGAAAACCTACCCCAGGTGATCATAACAGGGAACCAAGTTTGGTAATCAAACTATATGCACCAGAATCACCTGGAGGGCTTATTAAAACACAGTTTGCAGGGTCCCAGTCCTAGAGTTTGGCACTTAGTAGGTTTGGGGTTGGGCTTGAGAAGTTGCATTTCTATTCCCAAGATACTCGTGCTGCTGGTCCAAATGCCACAAAGTCAGAACCACTTGCATAGACCATGCCCAGTGGTCTTTATCATGGCAAAACCATTCTTGCACACTGGGATCCCTTCCTGTAGGCTGAACTACCATTCCCAGAATTGTCAGAGCTCACCATTCACCATTTTCCTGTTTAGAATCATCAATATTACCTGCATGGTCTCATTTACCAACACATCACTCTTGGTACCCAGGCAGAGGAAAAGAGAATTTGGGAAACTTGAGCATGGATAATTCTCTAGAAAGTAAAAAATAACTCCCTAGTTAAAACTATGTAGTAACCAAGGAGTTGCATATTAAAGGAACTGGATTAGCAGATTTGAAAAATTGACAAACCTCGTATTACTAAGATTGTGGGGAACTGGACACTCATGGTATGATGCAGAAAAAAATGAAAAGATGTGTGAAATGTGTTTAGAGTGGAACAAAAAAGCCAGAAAAACACTAAATATCTGGGGCCAGCCCTGTGGCTCAGTGGTTAAGTTCGCACACTCTACTTTGGTGGCCCAGGGTTCGCCAGGTTGGAACTGTGGCGGCATCCCACATAGAAGAACTAGAATGACTTACAACTAGGATATACAACTATGTACTGAAACTGTGGAGAGGAAAAAGAAAAATAAGAGGAAGACTGGCAACAGATGTTAGCTCAGGGCCAATCTTCAACACACACAAAAAAGGTGTGCTTTAAACACAAAACTAAATAGCCTACAACAAAGTTAAATACATTATTGTGCATTCATACAATGGAAAACTAAAGCTCCACTAAAAAAGAAGGTGAAATTCTTATCTGATGTCATGGAGAGATGGTCACTATATATTGTTGGGAGAAGACAGGTTAGAAAATAGTATTGTAGTATGATTGTATTTTTGGCAGGAAAACTACATACATGTGCATACATGTATATGTATTTGCATAAAATAGGCTGTGAATGGGCTTAGAATAAAGTTTTGTTGTTATCTCTACTTGATGGTATCCCTGGTGATCTTTATTTTGTTCTTCTCTGGAGTCTCTTACTTCTTTAATTAGAAATTTAAAAGTTTGTATCAATCAATGTGATACACTACACTAACAAAATGAGGAATAAAAACCACATGATCATCTCAATAGATGCAGAGAAAGCATTTGACAAACGAACATCCATTTATGATAAAAAACTCAATAAAATGGGTATAGAGGGAAGTACCTCAACAGAATAAATATGACATATATGACAAACCCACAGCCAACATCATACTCAATGGGGAAAACTGAAAGCCATCCCTCTGAGAACAGGAACAAAACTAGTGTGCCCACTATCACCACTCTTATGCAACTAGTACTGGAGGTTTTGCAATAAGGCAAGAAAAAGAAAAAAAAGAAATCCAAACATGCAATGAAGAAGTGAAACTCTCACTGTTTGCAGATGATGTGATTTTATACATAAAAAACCCTAAAGGATCCATTGGAAAACTAATAGAAATAATCAACAACTACAGTAAAGTTGCAGGGTACAAAATCAACTTACTTACAAAAATCAGTTGCATTTCTATACTCTAATAATGAACTAACAGAAAGAGAATTCAAGAATATGATCCTATTTACAACTGCAACAAAGAATAAAATATCTAGAATAAATTTTACCAAGGAGGTGAAAGACCTGTACAATGAAAACTGTAAGACATTATTGAAAGAAATAGATGATGACATAAAAACATGGAAAGATATTCCATGCACATGGATAGGAAGAGTAAATAATAGTTAAAATTTCCATACTACCTAAAGCAATCTACAGATTCAATGCAATCCCAATCAGAATCCCAATGACATTCTTCACGGAAATACAACAAAGAATCCTAAAATTCATATGGGGCAACAAGACACCCTGAATAGCTAAAGCAATCCTGAGAACAAAGAACAAAGCTGGAGGCATCACAATCCCTGACTTCAACATAGACTACAAAACTATAGGAAATAAAACAGCATGGTAGGGGTACAAAAACAGCCACACAGATCAATGGAAGAGAACTGAAAGCCCAGAAATAAAACCACACATCTATGGATAGCTGATCTTCAACAAAGGAGCCAAGAATATACAATGGAGAAAGGAAAGTCTCTTCGATAAATGGTGATGGGAAAACTGAACAGCCACATGCAAAAGAATGAAAATAGACCATTATCTTTAGCCATACATAAAAATTAACTCAAAATGGATTAAAGACTTGAAGGTAAGATGTGAAACCATAAAACTCCTAGAAGAAAATATAGGCAGTACACTCTTTGACATCAGTCTTAGGAAGATCTTCAAATACCATGTCTACTCAGACAAGGGAAACAAAAGAAAAAATAAACAAGTGGGACTTCATCAGACTAAAAAGCTTCTGCAAGGCAAAGGAAACCAGGAAGAAAACAAAGACAACCCACCAACTGGGAGAAAGTATTTGCAAATCATATATCCAACAAGGGGTTGATCTCCAAAATATATAAAGAACTCACACAACTCAACAACAAAAAAACAAACAACCCAATCAAAAAATGGGCAGAGGATCTCAACAGGCATTTTTCCGAAGAGGATACACAGATGAGCAAGAGGCACATGAAAAGACGTTCAACATCACTAATCATCAAGGAAATGCAAATCAAAACTACCCTAAGATATCACCTCACATCTGTTAGAATGGCTATAATCACCAAGACAAAAAAACAACAAATGTTGGAGAAGATGTGGAGAAAAGGGAACCCTCATCCACTGCTGGTGGGAATGCAAGCTGGTAAAGCCTCTATGGAAAACATGATGATGATTTCTCAAAACTATTAAAAAGAGAAATACCATATGACCCAGCTATGTTATAAACTATTATCACCTCAATAAAATAAAATAAAAAATTTTAAATTTGTATCACTTATACTTGGACATAAATTAAAAACTGATCTGCAAGGATTATCACTAAAAGCCCCAACAGTTCCATCCCTGTTACCTTTTCCCCCATTTTCCAAATCTAGATGCAACAAATTTTACCTCTTTTAGCTACTTCTTTTGGTATTTAAACTCCATACATTTAAAAAACATGCTAACATTGCTTCTTCTGAATTTTTAGTTTCATTATCTATTGACTTCCTATAACAGAAGGCATAGTTTTAGCTATCTTTTACCCACCCGCCTCCCACCCCACATACGCATAGTTGCAGTCTCTCTATCCTTCCAATATGGATATCTTCTATTTCAGGCGACATGAATATTCAGTTTCTGTTATTATGACCATGTAAATACCATTACCAACTGAGCTATGTAGTATCCTCAGATTATTTTGCCTTCCTTGCACAAGCTGTCTTCTTCTCTGAGGTTAAAATAATTTTGCTTTTTGTAAGCTTAGTTTTCTAGGAAATTATCACTAATTCATTTCTCAAACTCCCACTCAAATGAAAGATCAGGAGGATGAAGCTTCTGGCATAAAAGAGCAGAGCTATCTATTTCATTCTCTAGGCATCCTTCAGAAATTCAGCCAAATACTTCAGTGTCACCTGTACCCCAGCTGACAAAAGTCAATGCTGTATTCCTAAAAATTCCTATCTCTGAAATCCCACAAGACCCTGAAGTGAAAAGCTGGTTAAATAACAGGACCTAGAAAGCCTGTCGAAGGAATTGCTTAGGCAGTTTTGAACATCACTGCCCAGTAACTATTTCTTAAATAATTTATAAAACATCTATAAAATGGAATACTAAAGTAATCATTAAATGCTAAGTTTCAGAAAACAGTTAAAATGGAAAATATTCAAGATATACTGAAAGAAAAAAACAAAGTTTACAAAATATGTAATACGATTAGATTTTTAAAATCACAAAGCGAAACAGACATGAATAGATGAAAAAATCTCTTAATATTTCAATTGAGATTTTTAAAATTAATTTTAAATTATAATTAAGTCTCTCAATTTAATTGCCATCTCTGTCTTAAGAATTATAAATACTCGAAGATTTCTCAAACCAGAAGGGGATCGCTGAGACTTCATTTTTCTCCATACATTCATGCAGATATGATAAAATCCATGATAGCACGAATTCCTCTTTTAATCTAAGAAGCAGAGGTCTTGATTTCTTTTAAATTCTCAATTAGTGTTATCCTATTATTCAGAAATAAAACCATATACAAAAACACATATCCTTGGGGCCGGCCCAGTGGCTGAGAGGTTAAGTTTGCATGCTCCACTTCAGTGGCCCAGGGTTTCCCGGGTTCGGATCCTGGGCGCGGACAGGGCACCGCTCATCAAGCCATGCTGAGCAGGCATCCCACATGCCACAACTAAAAATACACAACTATGTACTGGGGGACTTTGGGGAGAAAAAGGAAAAAATAAAATCTTTTTTTTTTTTTGAGGAAGAGCAGCCCTGAGCCAACATCCGTGCCCATCTTCCTATACTTTATATGTAGGACGCCTACCACAGCATGGCTTGCCAAACGGTGCCATGTCCGCACCCGGGATCCGAACCAGCGAACCCCGGGCCACCGAGAAGCAGAACGTGCGCACTTAACCGCTGTGCCACTGGGCCAGCCCCTAAAATCTTAAAAAAACTCAAAAAAAATTCCCACATATCCTTGTAGCAATATTTTGGGAAAATATGCTCTAAATACTAATAGTGATTATTTCTGAATGTTGGGACCATGCATAATTTTAATTTTCTTCTTTCTTGGGTTTCTAAATATTTCACAAGCCTGAATTAACTCCATCATGAAAAATATTTTTACAAAAAGCTATTGCCATTAAAAAGATTTTTTTAATGAGTTGGGAGAATGGGGTACCTTACAGTCATCAAGAAAATTATGATTAAATAGACCTGCATATGTGGTAACAACAGGGAAATCAATGTGACTGAAAACATAATTCCTATCACTTCTTGAATACCATATCTCATCAGCCCCCAAGATCCTTCTGTGAAGGATCACAACGCTGGTTCACAGCATTTGCAAAGTGCTTAAGAGACAGCATGAACAGCAGACAGAAAAGAAATCCTTATTTCACAGCAGCTGCTCAAAACTTTGAACTTACCCCTTCTAAGCTCCAATGAACAGCCAACTATTAAATCCTTGCAAAATATCTTATAAATCCTTATCTTAGTGTTCAAGATAAATATGTAACAATTTCTTAAAAATCTTTATTCACAACACTTCTCAATTTTACATTATATACTACTTTTTTGTTATGACTAATTCTTTATAAACGTAATTTTTATTATCGTATAACATTCCATCACATGGATGGAGTGTGAGTTACTTAACCATTTCCATATTGCTGGATACTAATTTTGTAAAAGATTGTCCCAAAAGTCATTTGCAGTTATTCCAGACTTTCATTCTAGACCAGTCAGAATCAATCTTGTTGGGTCTTACCTAACTGATAATATCATGAAATGATAGAGTTCCTCCCCCTCAAATTACCCATTGACAAATATATACAACAATTCTGTATATAATCTTAAAAGATTTGTTTTCCTGAAAATCCATAAACAGAGTCCAAAGACTTCATGCTAAGAATCCCTCTTCTGGTCCACTTGAGCGTCTGATTCATTTTCCTGCCTGCAAGCACGCATCATAATTACCTTCACATTTTCATTACCCTTGGGAATATGGAAAGCTGACAGGGAATCAGAGCCATCATTTAACAGCAATGGCTAATGTTAATTAAGCACTTCTTTAATGTGCCAGGTACTCTTCTAACAGCTTACAGATATTAATTAAAACAACCTGTGCGGAATATACTATTATAACTCTGATTTTACAGACAAAGAAACTGTGACAGAAAGATTGCCCAAACTCACTCAGACTTAAGTGGCAGTCAGTATTCCAACCCTAATCTAGATTCAAAATTCTTAACCACTACATACACCTCTCTCGGTCTATCCAAAGACATACCTCAAACAAACTCATCCTACAAACTTGCAGTTATAAGAATGAATATAGTTCTGAAGACCTAACGTACAACATGGTTACTATAGATAATAACAATGTATTATATATTTGAAATTTGCTAAGAAAGTAGATTTAAGTATTCTCACCACAAAAAAAAGGGTAACTATGGGAGGTGATGGATATGTTAATTAGTCTGATTGTGGTAATCACTCCATTCCTCACTGTATACATATATCAAAACATCATGTTGTAGACCTTAAACATAAACAACTTTTTCTTTGTCAAAAACAAAAACTCAGGCTACCAAACCTCAAACCACATCTGGCTGGCACCCAAAATCTCTACTCATGGGTTCCGTTGGAAAAAAATCCCCACTCCTACTCTGGAACCAGTAAAGATATCTAAAGCCTAAACTACTCCTTAACAAATCGCGGTGGAAAACAAGGCATGAACATGAACTTCCAGCAGGACTACTTCCGTCATCAGAATCCTCAGGAAAACCAGCGCTCACAGAGCAACTGCACACGCAGTAGCACACGATGAACTGCAGAACTGCATTCAGTCGGCGCTAGAACGGGAATCTATTAACTAGGTCCCCCGCCATTTACTAGGTAGGGAAATCCTAAAGCCCAAGTCAGTGAGTAGACCATTCTTAAGCAGGGCATTCGAAGGGAAGAAAAGAAAAAAAGTCTGGCGTCGTGAAAATCAAACGCATTTCACAGAAACAAAGCAGCAGCACAAACTCACAGAGGACGCGGCCTTCAGAGGCGCAGCGGCGACTCGCTTCCCTTCAACGGCCTTCTCCGCAGACCGGCGGCGCTGGGGAAGGAAACAGGGTTCAGTACACCCCAGGCTTCTCTCGACTCTGTCAGAACCCATCCTCCACGCCCCCTTGCCCCTCGCTACCCACCACAGGCCTGCACAAATAAAACCGAGAGAGAGACGGGAGCGGTCACCCAAGTCCGCGTTCGCTGTTTTGGGTCCGCAACTGCCCACCCCCGGGGCGGCCCACCGCGTCGTCTTCTGTCCAGCGGGTGTCCCCGAATGGAGGCCCAGGGCTCTGCAGGGGACCTTCATTCTGGGCCTCCACCTCCGACTTCCCCCCTCGGGCCTCTCTCTACAGCCGGGCCTCGGAGGTGGAGGTGAGGGCGGAGGGCCGCCGGACCTCAGGCTCTCGCCCCGCAGAACAGGCCGCGCCCAAGCCGAAGACCCGCGCGGTCCGCGCCCACGGACTGCAAACCCTCCCTCCGGGGGCAGCGCATAGCGGCCTGAGGTCCCAAGACCCACCCCCGGGCCGGTCTGCAGAACCTGGCTCGCCCTGCGCTCGTTTCCTTCGGAAAAGCAGCAACCACAACCGAACCCGGCTCACCGCACTCAGACCGCGCCTTGCTCCGAAGACCGCACCCCACTCCTAAGGTCCGCGGCGCCGGGGTTCCGGAGAGCGCCCGCCGCGGTCCCGAGTACGCAGGCGTGCAGGGGGCGGGGGCAAGTGCCTCGGCCCCTCTGGAAGGGCTCTGAGGGGCGGTGGGGCCTGATTCCGGCCGGCCCACCGAGCAGAGACGCAGGGTTCCGGAAGGGCCGGGAGGTGTCCAGTTCCTGAGGCCTGCGAAGGCGACCCCGTGAGTGACCGGTGCTATCGAGGACAATCCGGGCCTGCTCCTCTGTTGGAACTATAGTCCAAAATCACAACAGCTGTGTATGCGACTTTCTCATTGGGTTCTTAGCTCTGCGTTTAGGCAGCGAGCCCCGCCCCCAGAAGCCGAGCACTGAGGCTCCTGGGAGTTGCTCTTTCTGCCCGGAGTGCGCAGGCGCGCGGATCGGAGGCGAGCCCCCGGCTCTTCAGCGGGCGGAGGGGGCGCTGGGGGCCGTGTCCGCGGAAGGCTGGGCGGTGGGGAGGGGAAAGCAGGGCCTGTAGGAAGAGGTTGGAGCCGGGAGCCCGGGTTGGCCCTGGTGTCCGGATCTTTAAGCTTGTGACCGTGGCCCCGTGATACCCCAGTGCCGCGAGCGTGGTCTGTGTGGCGTTTGCTGAGGACCTGGCGTGATGCCCCGTGTGCCAGTGTGTGATGGCGTCCGGGCTCGTGTTTCCGTGCGTGGAGCTGTTTGCTGCCTGTGTGCCATTCTCTGGGTGCGGGACTGGGGTGGCGCCAGAGAGAAGGTTGAGGGGGATTATGTCCGACTCTGACGCCAGGATCAGGGGTCTCTGGTTTGTGGCTTCCTTTGTAAAGTGGCTGAGATTGTATCTGTGAAGGTGGCTGTGCCTTGAAGGAAACCAGATATGTCACCGCGAAATATGCCTCTGACAAAAATTCTGAGCTGAAGGCAATTTAGAAGTGTAGAGGAGAAAGACAATTCCTCTACACAAACTAAGTCCTTCTGGCTGGGCTACGGTTTAAATTGACATGAGACAAAATAACAGGAAAAAATCAAAGCTTTATAACATGTCTATGTGGGAGAAACCCAGGAAAGCTGAGTAACTTGCCAGAATGGCAGAGGCTGTTCCCTTAAATACTGTCTTCAGCTGAAGAGAGGGGAGGGTGTTGGGCTGAGTGGTTTGGAGCTTCAAAGGGGAGGAAGGCAATTCACACGGAGATGGAAATGTAAATAAGCCAACTTCAGACAATGTGACATGAGAGACACGTTGTACATGACATTACAGTTACGGTATTAACTCCTTCCTGGAGCAGGCCATTCTATTTTAAATTCTTTTAGGCAGTTGTGGGGGAGGTCAAAGTTTCTTTCAGTCTTTTGTTCTTGAAAATAATCCAGTCAAAGAGACATTTTGGGGTGGCCAAGTCTGATCCCCCACAGAAGTGTCAAAGGCAGGAAAAGCTCTCTGTACCCTCCTCCACTTTTGACTAAAGGCAGGATATAAATTCTCCTTTACTGGAGACCGATGAGGATCAAGGCTGCCCCAGGAAGAGAAGCCCAAGGTGACCTGCCCTACATACCGATCTATATCATCCTCTGGGAAGCATAAGATGTCCTGACCTGATCCTTATCTAAAGTTATAGGACCACCCAATAACAAGACCCCACGGGCACTGATACCATTTTAATGACTTTTTTACATAATCTTTCCATTGTCTTTTAAAGAGATAACTCGCATGCCTATGCCTTAAATTTAGTCCTACCCTCAACCCAAGTCTGCAGCTCTTCACTGCCCATGGGTTCTGTCCCCATGCCTACAGCTCTTCAGTACCCATGGGTCCTGTCCCCATGCTACTCCAGGCTATTCTCTGAATAAAAGAGCACTACTGCTAGACCTTGAGAGTCCAAGAAATCTTTCTTTCCACTCCTCAGCTCGCCGAGCCCGCATCAGAGACAACTCTAGACTCTTTAGCTTGTGGGTGGCACCTAAGGAATCTGCAAATAAATGTTAGTCCATTAGCTTCCTCCCACGGTTTGTCACCTTTGGAAACCTAAAACTGCTTTTCTTTACTGTATCATTTCTCTACAAATTTATTGTTCCTTTGTTGAAGTTGCAATATAACCTGGAGTTGTAAGCCATCGTTTTGAGTTACTCTTCTTAGCGTTTCTCCCATATGACATGCAAACATAGGTTAATAAATTGTATTTCTCCTGTTAATCTGTTTTTTTACTCAGGAGCCCCAGCTGAGAACTTTTAAGATGGATACAGGTAAAGTTTTTCCTCCCCTGCAGCCTTGTTGTGTGTTATTTCTGGGATGGTTTTGATAGGCCGGCACTTCTGGTTCTTGCTTTGCATGGGCACTGTGTTACTGGGTGTTGGGATTTTGATTTTCCGCACCTTGGCCATTCAGTGCGCTCTCGGGAATGTGGTGCTACGGCAGGTGAGTAAAATACTTCGGGCACAAAAAAACGTTAGAAAGGAGGTGGTGCTGATGATACAGGCTCAATACAAGGTTGACATAAGGGAAGCCATGTTGTAGCAAAGAAACCATATTGTAACTTTTAATGACCTCTGATTAACTAACCCAGACATGCTCTGTAGATTTTGTGGCCCCTCCCAGCTGCCATAACTTGATAACTTTGTTCTCTTGAGTTCCTTAGGAATGTGATGACCCCCGGGCAGAGAGTCTGTGCTGACAGACATCATCAATGACAACTGAAAGATCAGGGTGTAGGGCGTTGCTCTAGTCTCTGATGCGTATCCAGTAAAACAAAAGACTATCAGGAACTGGGACCAGATGTCTGCCCCACCTGGAGATGAGATGGAGGCCCCACTGGGATTAGATTTATTTTTCAGGGACTTAAAATTTGGGTTGTCTATACTTCTTATCCTTCTGGTCGGATACTTGATTATGAAATGTGCCTTTCAATGTTGTTCCAAAACTGTTGAGCAAAGTACAAATATTCTAATAATACAAAATGTCAACCTGAAACCAGGAACAAAAGAATATTTCCAAATGAGAACTAAACAGGTTCGTTCCTCTAACCCAGATCTATGCCCCAATTCAACAGGGAGTAGCTAGATCGGTAGTCGCCCTGAATCCCTCAAGAATGAGGAATGACCTAAGAATAGGAAAGATTGAAACCAGCGAACAGTTAGCTATTGATGATTAAGTAGCTAGTAATTAAAGTTTTTTTTCCTTTTTGCAAACACTGATTTTAGCTTTTACTTGTTAACTTTAACATTTAACATTGTTAACTGTGCTGTTTAGGCAATATGCTGTCTGACTCCCACTAGGTTCCTATAGATAACATGTCCCTGGAGCCTGGGTCACCATGGTAATGGATATTTGAACTATTTTTCAGGAATTAGAACCCTTTGTCTCCTTCAGGCTGGTTGAGACCACCAGCCCATCAACTGGGCCCAGGCAGATGTCTGATAAGTGACCTTTTGGCACCAAGAGGCTAAAAACTCCACCCTCAGATCATGCTAACACTGCCATTTTGTGAACATGCGTCCTGTGAAGAGGCGTGAAGCCTGACTACGCTTGCACAGATCATCAATTCCCTCACCTCTCCGCACCTCCAGTCACCTCTCCACATATTAGACCACCTTGCCTCCTACCCCATAAATATCCCTGAGTTCCCATTTTTGGGGAAGCAGCTTTAAGACTCATTCTCTCACTTCCTCACATGGATGCATTGTGATTAAAACCCTCTCTTTGCTGCCATCTCGTCCTCTTGGTGTTTGGCTTTCCAGGCGGCAGGCAAAAACGAACCTGGTGCACCAACAGTAAGGTTATCATTATTATTTTTTCTTTTGGGGGCCGTCCCAGTGGATAGCAGTTAAGTGCACACGTTCCACTGCAGCGGCCCGGGGTTCGCCAGTTCGGATCCCGGGTGCAGACATGGCACTGCTTGGCAAGCCATGCTGTGGCAGGCGTCCCACATATAAAGGAGAGAAAGATGGGCATGGATGTTAGCTCGGGGCCAGGCTTCCTCAGCAAAAAGAGGAGGATTGGCAGCAGATATTAGCTCAGGGATAATCTTCCTCAAAAAAAAAAAAAAAGAAGAATGAAGTACTGATATGTGCTACAACATGGATAAGCCCTGGAAATGTCCTAAGTGAAAGAAGCCAATCATGAAAGATTTCATGATCTGTGATTCCATTTATGTGAAATGTACAGAACAGGCAAATCCATAGAGTCAGAAAGAAAATTAGTGGTTGTCTGGGGCTAGAGTTAGATAGGAGGAGCAGGAAAAGAGAATGATTATAATGTGTATGGCGTTTCTTCATTGGGTGTTGAAAAAGTTCTAAAATTAGATTGTGGTGGGCCAGCCCCGTGGTGCAGCAGTTAAGTTCGCACATTCCACTTCTCGGCGGCCCAGGGTTCACTGGTTCGGATCCCGGGTGTGGACATGGCACTGCTTGGCAAAAGCCATGCTGTGGTAGGCATCCCATATATAAAGTAGAGGAAGATGGGCATGGATGTTAGCTCAGGGCCAGTCTTCCTCAGCAAAAAGAGGAGGATTGGCAGGAGTTAGCTCAGGGCTAATATTCCTAAAAAAAAAAAAAAAAAAAAGATTGTGGTGATGCTTACTCAACTTTATGGGTATACTAAAAACTGTTAAATGAAAAAAAGACAGTCAATAGATGCCCAAATGCCCAAACTGAAATAATAAAGATGTTAGAATTATCTCACAAGGATTTTAAAGCAGCCATCATAAAAATGCTTTAGTGAGCACAGAGAAACAAACTTGAAACAAAGAAAAAAAACAGAAAGTCTCAGTAAAGAAATAGAAGATATAGGGGCCAGCCTGGTGGTGCAGTGGTTAACTTCACACTTCCACTTTGGCAGCCCAGGGTTCACTGGTTTGGATCCCAGGTGCAGGCATGGCACCGCGTCACAAGCCATGCTGTGGCAGGTGTCCCACATAGAAAGTAGAGAAAGGTGGGCCTGGATGTTAGCTCAGGGCCAGTCTTCCTCAATAAAAAGAGGAGGATTGGCAGCAGATGTTACCTCAGGGCTAATCTTCCTCAAAAAAAAAAAAAAGAAGAAGAAGCTATAAAGAAGAACCCAATGGAAATTTTAGAACTGAAAAATGCAATCACCAAATTTAGAAACTCAATGGATGGGCTCAACAGCAGAATGGAGGAGATAGGGAAGGGGGAAAATCAATGAACTTGAATACAGAACAATAGAGAATACTCAATCTGGACAACAGAGAGAAAACAAACTGAAGAAAAATAACAGAAATTCTGGAACTGTGAGACTATAATAAAAGATCTGACATTCTTATCTGCAGTGTCTTGGAAGGGAAGAGAAAAGGGAGGGGCTGAAAATGTACTCACAGTAATAATAGCTGAAAATGTCCTAAACTTGATAAAAAGGACATAAACCTGCAAACTCAAGAAGGTGAGAAAACCCCAAATAGGATAAATAAATCCACACCAAGACACACCATAATCAAACTTCTGAAAATAAAAAACACACAAAAAATCTTGAAAGTAGCAATAAAAACAACACCTTACCTATAGTGGAAAAACAATTTGAATGACAGTAGATTTCTTATCAGAACCATAGAGACCAGTAAAAAAAAGTCACAACACTTTTTAGTCCTGAAATAACTGTCAACCAGAATCCTATATCCAAAGAAAATATCCTTAAGGAATGAAGGAGAAATCAAGACACTTTAAGGACAACTAAGACAATTTTTCACCAGCACATCTGCCCTAAAAAGACAGCAAAACAAAATTCTCTACACAAAAGGAAAATGACAAAAGAAGGAGTCCTGGAATATCAGGAAGGAAGAAAGAACATGATAAACAAAAATATGGGTAAATACAATAGACTTTCCTTTTGCTCTTGAATTTTCTAAATTCTGTTTTATGGTTGAAGCAAAACTTAACAACACTGATATGGTTCCACATGTGTATAGAGGAAATATTCAATATAGTTATATTGTTCATGGAGAGGGTAAAGGAGTGTAAAAGGAGGTAAGGCTTCTACATTTCACTTCACTTGAAAGGTAGCATGATGACACCAATAGGCTGTGATAAGTGATGTTTACATAAGGTCACGCCTAGGTCATCCACTAAAAAAGAAGCTACACAAGGAGATACACTCAAAACCACTATAAATAAATCAAAATGGAATTCTCAAATCTGTTCAAGTAACCCACCAGAAATCTGGGGGGAAATAACAGAGAAATTAAAAACAGAACAAGCAGAAAACACAAAGATAAAATGGAAGACTTAAGCTCTAACACAACTAATTACATTAAATGTAATAGGTCTAAATACCAATTAAAAGACAGCTTGGAATAGTGCATTAGAAAACATACTACTATATACTGTCTATAGGAAACTTAAAATATAACAATATAGGTAGGTTGAAAGTAAAAAGGATGAAAAAAGATATATCACAGAAGCATTTTTTTTAAAAAAAGGAGAGGCTATGTTAATATCAGATAAAGTATACTTAAGAGCTCAGAAAATTATCAGAGAGTGCTATTATATAATGATAAAAAAAAGTCAATCCACCAGGAAGACATAGCAATCCTAAATGAGTATGCACCAAACAAAAAAGCTGCAAAATATGTGAAACAAAAACTGATAGAAGTTAAAGAAGAAACAGAAGAATTCACAATTATAGAGTAACTAGACAGAAAGTCAGCAAGAATATAGAACTTATCAGTACCATCAACCAAGAGGATCTAATTGACATTTATAGAACATTTGACCCAACAGCAGCAGAAAACACATTTCAAATGTTCATGGAGCATATAGCAAGATAGACCATGTTCATGGTCATAAAATGAACTTCAACACATTTAAAAGACTTGGAATCATACAGAGTATGTTTCCTGGCCACAATGGAATCAAACTAAAAATCAATAACAGAAAGATACCAGGAAAATCTCCAAACACTTAGAAACCAAACAATACTCTTCTAAATAAGTCATGGGTCAAAGAGGAAGGCCCAAGGGAAATAAAAAAACTACATTAAACTGAATGAAAACACAACATACCAAATTTTGTGGGACACAGCTAAAGGCGTGCTGAGGGGGAACTTTATAACACTAAATGAATACATTAGAAAAGAAGAAAAGTCTCAAATCAATAATCTAGTAAACTCTCACTTCAGGAACCTAGGGAAAGAAGAGCAATATAAACACAAAGCAATCAGAAGGAATAAAATATTAAGGAGCAAAGATAAAAAAAAAATGAACCTTGACCAAAGTTTCACACCTTATGTAAAGATTAACTCAAAATAGATCATGGAGTTAAACTATAAAACTTTTAGGAGGAGACATAGGAGAAAGTCTTTAGACTCTGGGGCTGGCAGAAATCTTAGACCTGATATCAAAAGCATGATCAATAAAAGGAAAAACAGAAATATTGGAATCCATTAAAAGTAAAGACCTTTGCTCTGTGAAAGTCCCCATTAAGAGGATGAAAAGATGAGGTATAGACTAGGAGAAACTATTTGTAAAGCACATATTCAACAGAGGGCTAGTATATAGAATGGACACATGAATTAGCTTGATTGTGGTAACTATTTCACTATGTACGTGTACATCAAACCACCAAGTTGTATACCTTAAATATATACA